CCAGGAGCGGGTGGGCTGGGAGCCCAGGCCCGCGGGGCCGGGCGGTCAAGGGCCTTGCCGCGAGGGGGAAGAAAAAAAAAAGAGGAGCGCGCCCACCAAAAAAAAAAAAAAAAAAAAAAAAAAAAAAAAGAAGCGCATCTAAGGGGCCAGGAGCACCCCAGAGAGGGGAGCCGGCATCAGTAATGAGGGTCACCGCAGGCGACGAGCTCTGGGTCTCACTGCCCGGCTCCCCATCCTTGTCCGATGTTTTTATTAGCAGAACAATGTCGTTCACAGCGGAAGCTAACACGCTTCCCCGCATGGGACTGGCTGGGTTTTGTTTGGAAATTCAGAAGTGGAAGATCAATTTTTTTGTTTCATTCTAAATAACGTTTGTTGGATTTTTTTTGTCTGTTTCTGATTGCGTCGTTGTAAAAAAAAAAAAAAAAAAGCTCTTGCACTGAAAGTAACCCACAAACGTTTTCCCACGTGACTGTATCTCTAAGGCTTCCATTCTTCCTAAACACCGCGTCCGGGAGGTGTTCCAGGGAACGGATGAACACGGCGTTCTTTGAACCTGAAGAGAGCTGGTTCTGGAGAAAGCTAATTCAAGGAAACGCACTTCAGGCGGGCCCTGGGCTGTCAAAGTTCGCAGCACCACTAAGTGAGTCAATTAAAATTTTATCTTCAAAAATGAAATTAGTGAAAAGCAGCTTACTCCAGTTTATCCTGAACACATTTCAGGTTACGTCACCCCCATGCTCTAATTTGTGGAATAGAGTAAGGAACGGGTCTATGGTTGGTTCTGTGGTGGGCGTGTTGGGGTGAGCAGTGGGGGAGTGATACTTTTTGGCAAATCCACGTGGCGGCATGACCTGGCGTGCTTCAGTTCACGTTCAGGTAGGAGGCAGTCACTTCTAGCAAGGTCGGGAGGCTTCCTCAGTGTCCCAAAGGCCTTGCTCTGAATCTTTTGATGTTCCAACATTCTCTTTTTTGGCAGGGAATTCCTGGGCTTGGTCAAATCTGGCCACCGTAGGGAGGAGGTGCATGGCAGAGCTCTGCTCCAGTTACTACCGACTCAGAGGGCACTTAACAAGCCGGCAGGGGAGGGGCAGGACAGGAACCTCCCTCTCCACGTTCTGGTTGGAACCGGGCATTAAGTTCAAGGCCCCTACAAGGCAGGCCAGGGAAGGCGACCGAGGCACACTCTTCGGGGCTCTAGGAAAGGGGCCGTCACATCAGGGATTTGGGAGCGTGTAAGCATCTCTCCAACAGATCAAGATGCAAAACCCAGAAACAGAAATATTCCAGGTTCCACACAGTGGCTCCAGTCAGGGGCAAGCTGGCTGCAAGAAACATAAGCCCGCTAAAGCTGGCTCAGGTCACGTGGAGGTGCGCTGGTGGAGCCCCGGGGACTAGGCCCACAAAGCCCACGTCCGGGCTCCCCTCTGTCTCGTGGGACCTCTCCGCCTGTCTGCTCCACCCGCCTGCTCCCTTCCCTCTGCGGCCCGTGTTTCACTCATTCTGGTTTCTCTGCTCCCCCTGAGACTCCGGTGTGAATGATGCTGGGACCCAATTCCAAGTTCCCAGGGTTCAAGGAGAGGGAATCTCATTGGCCCCTTTTGGATGAGGTGTCTGCGGTAGGCTGAATAATGGCCCCCAAAGACGTCACGTCGTAATCTACAGGACCTGTGACTATGTCACCTTGCACTTGGCAAAAGAGAATTTGCAGACGCGACTCAGTTAAGGACCCCGACATCGGGCGGGCCCAATGCAATCGCGAGGTCCTTATAAGGGGGAGTCAAGAAGAACTAAGGAAGGGAACATGACAACAAAAGCAAAGGTGCTGTGATCCGAAGGTGGCGTGACGTGGCCTCAAGCCAAGGAACGCGGGCAACTCTGGAAGGTGGAAAAGGTGAGAATGTGGATTCTCCCCAGAGGGTGGCTCCAACCACCTTCCAATAGGAAAACATTCTCAGTTCTACTCTGGGTGGGGATCGTACACCTGTGTTTGTTCTAAACAAAACCCCCATCGTGGCAAACAAAACAAAGCAACACCAGCTCACCTCATTGTACCAGCGGGCAATGAGTTCCAAGTTGCCCACAAACTTCCAGAAGGTTTCGTACTGTGAGAACAGGTTCTCAGCGCTGCGGGGAATCTCCTTTTGTTGCTGGAAGTTCAGGTACTTGACCTCTCTCAGCACTGCCACCAGCTAAGGTGAATGAAGAGAATACAAGAGGTGAGGGGGTGGCCTCAGTGGCATGGCACTTAGCAGCACAAGTGAGGGTCTGTCCCTGGGATGCTTCTACAGCCCCCAAAGCTGGGGGGAGGTCTGATTGGGGATGGGCTCCACTGGTAGGATCACGACGCCTTCACCCTATTGACTGTTCCTGATGTCTAGAAGTGCTGGCATCACCAGCATGGTGGACACCATCATTGTAACTAACCTGCCAGGTGTCTAAAGAAAGGCTCCTCCCTAGGGTCTGACCTTCCCTTGTCCCTCTCCACCCCCTGGTTACAGCCCAGGAGAACAACAGCAGGGCATCCCTTCCGACAGAGCTTCTGCCCTCACTGCTCAGCCAACACCGTTCTTAGAGAGGCCCCAGTAACCTTCACATTGCTGAATCCATGGGTCATTTCACAGGCCCCGTCTCACGTGGCCTCTCAGCAGCTGGTCCCTCCCCCTCCTGGGCACATGGTCCCCTTTGCGTCCAGGACACCAGGCTCTCCTGGTCCCCATTACCAGTCTCTCTGATGCTTCTGAGATTTAAGTGTTGGAGAACCGCGGATGGGGTCCCTCTCGATCTGCTCTCATGTTGGTGACCTCACCCAGTGTCACAGTGTTAAGAACCATCTACGTGTGAATGATTCCCGTGCTCATGTCCCCAGCTCGGGTCTCTCTCCTGACTTGAGACTCCTGTATCTACCTGCCTACTCAGTGTCTCCACGTGGATGTCCAGTTGACATGTCAAACTCAATGTGACTGAAACAGAGCAGTCTTGCCCACTGGCCACCTCCACCTGCTGTCTCATCTGATGGCCATTCCCCGCTTCCAGTTGCCCAGCCCCAGAATGCTGGGGCTGACCCCTCTCTTCCTGCACACGTGATTTCCAACCTGTCTAGGATCTCATCGGCCCTGTGATCAAAATCTAATCTAACCTCTGCGCACCTTCACTGCTGCTGCTCTGGTCTAGGCCACCACCCTCTCATCATCCCTCACCTGGATTCCAGCAAAACACTCCTAAGTGGTCTCTGTGCTTCTGGCCTTGCCCTCCCCCCAAGTCCACTCACACACAGCATCTCAGATCAGGGCCCTCCTCTGCTCGAAACCCTGCAACGGCTGCCATCTTGCCTGGAACAAAGACCCAAGTCCGTTTCAGGGCCCGAGAGGCTCTCTGTGCCCCATCGTCTCCTCACCCCCTTTCCCTGCACCTCCCCTGCTCACTCCACCCCAGCCCCCCTGGTCTCCTCGCTGCTCCCACAACACACCAGGCACACGCATACCTCCTGGCCTTTGCTTTAGCTGTTTGCTCTCCTCGAAGGCTTTCCTCCCATCTTTGCTGGCCAACACCCTCACCTCCTGCAAGTCTCTGCTCGAGTCCAAAGCCGCAACCTGCCCCCTTCCTCCGGCTCTGTCCATTCCCCGCTTACCTGCCTTTCCCATTCTTTGAGGTACCAACCATCACGTTCTCATGTGTTATACGTTATGCTGGTTCATCGTCCCCGCCCCCTCTTCTCCTGGCCCTTCCACCGGGCCCCCACCACTCTCTCCCCTCTCTCTCCCCCTCTCCCTGTAGGAGGCAGCTCCAGAAGGACAGAGATCTTTGTTGGTTCACTAATTTATCCCAAACACATACACAAAGTAGGTGTTCAGTAACTATTTGTTGAATGAAAGAATGAATTTGGGTGAAAGAAGGTTTCAGAGGAAAAGTCCCATCTGGGTTCCCTGCCTTCCTGGTATCACCGCTGACCTCAGAGCAGGGCAGATGCGTTCTTGTAAGGCAGGTGGCTTGTAGAGATGCAGGCTGCTCCAGCTTCTGACTGCGTACATGGTTAACTACCTGGGGTTTAGCCCTGGACGGTGTGGATTCCCTCCAGCCTTCCCGACTTGACCAGGGGGTCCACTTATTCAGATCCTGAAAAGACCTTTCTTTTTTTTCTTTTAAATTCTCAAATTGATAGTTCCTCTTGGGATCCCATGAAAGGCGGCCCAGCTTTAAAATAGCGTACTCATTCCAGCTATTTTCAAGGAGGCTACGATTGTCTCATATCTTAAATATACCCTGGGCATACTTTAAGCAACACTTGAATAATAAAGCTTTAGCTGGATATGACATAAACATCAACCCCACAAGTCCATGCTGTTGGTAGGAGGGAGGGTCAGCCTCAGGGTCACGTGGGCTTGCTCCGTGGGGAACCCCAGGTCCCCGGGACAGCCTCTGGCCCAGCTGCCCTCCCGATGCTGCGGCCAGACGACACCCACCGCTTTGCTGAAGTTGACGCGGACGAGGCTGGTGACGGGGTCCCGCTGAATCAGGGGCTGCCCCAGGTTGAAGTGGCAGTCCTGGTCTACCCCCGCCGCCCACTGCTGGTAGATCCTCTCGCGGTAGCTTCTCAGCAGTTCCACCATCTCATCGTATTTCTGGTAGATCAGCTTGGCCTCCACACTGGACATGATCCTGGAATCAGAGTTAGGAGGAGGGTCAGGTGCCGTCTCCCTCAGGGCCTCGCTAACACCCCAACCGTGCCTGCCAGACCTTGGGGTGACGCAGCAGGCAGCCAGCTCTCTGTTTCTTCCAGGCTGAGACACTGAACATACGCATGGATGACGCCCTTCACAGGCGGCAACCAGCCCAGAAAGTCAAATGATAACCCTTGTAATATTGGCCCTGAATGACCAGGACTTGATTCATAACTGCAACCTTCCTTAGTTTCTGTCCTCCCTTCCAACTTAGGACCAACCAGAGAGCCAGACATGCCTCCTGACCAAACACACAGGACGCCCTCCTCCAGTCCCCATGCTGATGGCCTCCAGTCCGGGAGACCTGGGGCCTTCTCTGTTCTGCTGTGGGTTCTTCCACTCCTCCCCCCTGCTTTTCAGGCTCTGCCAAAAACAAGTGACAGTGGCCGACTCCCTGCTCTGGCCAGCACCGAGGAAGTAGCCTTTGCTTGTTCTCATTTGGGTGTCTTTGTTCATTTCCATGAGGGTGACCACCAAGGTCACCTTCCCGACATGCCCGCTGGGAAGGCACCCAGAGGAGGGGGAGGTGCAGTCAGGGTCTCTCCTGGGACCGTGCCCTGGGAAGGAAAGGCTTGGCCGATGGTAAGCATGGGCCTGCCTCAGAGCTGGGACAGACGTCCCCACAACGCACCGCAAACTCCACAGCTGAGGAGGAGCGCTGCCTGCCCGGGGCCATCACTCACGGGTGATCGATGTGCTTGAGGTCCCTCATGGGTGCCTCCAGCCTCTCCTGCAGCTCCAGGCTCCACTTGAGCTGCCCGGCCACCGGGGGCATGTTTTTATGGATAGGGGGGATGTTCCCGTCTGCCGAGGCCGCAATCTGGGTGTCATACAGGGTCTTGGTGTTGTCCAGCTCAGCGTCAAACAGCTCCAGCATGACCGAGTACCTGGGCACCACCTCGGGGAGAATCAGAGGCCGTTCCAAGAGGCTGCCACACATGTGTAGGAGCTGGGGAGAAACAAGAGATGCGCTTTCGCCGGGGCCCGCCACCTGCCCCATCCCCGGCGTCACCCCCAGCTGCGTGTCTGGGACGCCATGTGCAGCCAAGCTTCAGGATCAGGAAGATACACGCCTTCCAGACAAAGAAGCTTTTCTCTGTGTGGCAACTGGCTAACCAGGCGCCTCAATGATTTCCATGTTGATGTACGCTGGGTCCCTACATACTTAGCTTATAAACCAACAGTACAAACTAGGTCCAAGGTCTGGAAAAATTTATTCTGGGCCCAGGAGAAATCAGGGTTTGGGCAAAGAAGATTTAAACATTTAAGAAATACCATTTCAAAAATTGAAAAAAAAAAAAGAAAAAGTAACCACAATACTGCACTTATATAACCAGGGCTTACGCTATAACTGGATGGAGAAATGTCTTTTTTTTTTTTCTGTATTTTTTTTAACATCTTTATTGGAGTATAATTGCTTTACAATGTGTTAGTTTCTGCTTTATAACAAAGTGAATCAGCTCTACATATACATATATCCCCGTATCTCCTCCCTCTTGAGCCTCCCTCCCACCCTCCCTATCCCACCCCTCTAGGTGGTCACAAAGCATCCAGCTGATCTCCCTGTGCTATGCGGCTGCTTCCCACTAGCTATCTGTTTTACACTTGGTAGTGTATATATGTCAATGCTACTCTCTCACTTCGGAGAAATGTCTTAGTCATGAGAATTATTCCTTTTAGGAAGACCTCTGATTCTCAAGGACCCACCCAGGAAAGAAAAGCCACCATGGGGAAGTTTATTTTGCTCTGAAAAATGCTCTGGGGAAAACAGGAACAAACTAGGTGAGAGGGAGGCCAATCTTAACCACGTGGGGTTACAACTAAAGTTGCCAAGTGCTGGGTGTGGGGAAGGGTCTGTAGGAGCGTCCTGGGGCTGCCATGACAGCACCACGAACTGGGCAGCTTCAACAACAGAGTTTATTCTCTCACAGCCTGGAGGCAACAAGTCCACAATCAAGGTGGACAGGGCTGCGCTACCCTGAAGGCTCCAGAGGAGAGTCTGTCCCAGCCCCTGGGTCCCTGGGGGTGGGCGGCAACCCTCGGCTTGTAGACCCGTCACTCCATCCTCTACCTCCTTGGTCATGGGGCTATCTTCCCTGTGTGTGTCTCTTCCCTTCTTCTGGCACAGACCCCAGACACACTGGATTAAGGTGCACACCGCTGTGGTAGGACCTCAATTTACGTCTCAGTTACATCTGCACAGACCCTATTTCCAATAATGCACAGGTCCCGGGGGTCCAGACTTTATCCTCTATCTCTGGAGGACACAGTTCCACCCACCAACAAAGGGGCCTGTGTTTAGCCTTGGGCTGACCAGGTGGAGATGGCAGTGGGGACAGGGCCCAGACATCGTGCATAGGTGTTGAGAGTGGGAAGCGCTGACCGGGAGAGCTCAGCTCCTGGGGGTTTGAGGAAATTACAGGGAGAGCTTGGCACATTCCCAGGCCGTGACACCAGGGGTTCAAGCATGGGCTGCCTGATTCCCCCAGGAGCCGGGACAGCCCGGGTCCCCTTCAATGTGTCATTTCCATGGCCTGTCAGCCCGAGAGCCCTGACCTGATTACTCCAGTGGGGGACATCACCTCACATATCTGAGGGTGGTAACCATAAACATGCCCTAGCACCTTGCAAGTAACGAGCTCATCACCCTGTGGTCTGCGGATGCTACACACTGGCAATTGTAAAAAAAAAACAAAAGAAAAGCTTAGTAGAAGAGAATAAGGTAGAATTACCTGGGTGTTTCAGTTAGAGTCTGGCCTGGAATAGGAGGATGGCTCAAATTGGGCCATAGAGGAGAGCTTCTTAAAAGATCCCCTCACAGCGGTGGGTGTCCAGGGAGGCCTGAGGCCGGGGCTGAGCCTGATTGGTGAGGGAGGGGCCCTTACTGCAGCCTGGAGAGAGAGGCCGTGGGGTTGGACAGTGACACGTGACATGTTAGGGCAGCTCCGAGCCAGCCTGAGGTCACCAGGGGAGGGGTGCCTGAGCCTGGGGGTGCCTGCGGCAGAGCACTCCTGGAGACAGACGGGGAGTCATCAGGGCTCAGACCACACGGCCCCATTTTCTCTGGGATATGGGCTGCAGCCCTTGGTGCCTGGAAGGGCTGGACCCAAGTCTCAGATTTGTCCTACTTTTTGGTATGAAAACTAAGACAACTGTCCCTAAAAATGGCCTTTTGGGGAAACAGTGGAATAACAGCTGCCGAGAAAGGAGGAAAGATTTTCAGGTACCCGAAAGCCAGATGGAACAGCCACGGACTCCCGGGAAGACCCCTCAACTCCGAGTTGCTAAGCACCGATACCTGCAGAGAGGCTCCTGACATATTAGGTCACCAGCGTCATTTCTCTGGAAACTGACATGTAACAGTTGGGAAGAACCTGTTTCTCTTGTTGGTTGCTGACCCTTCTTGGCTTTTTTCCTCCCACTCCTATTCCTTTTATTTCACCTTTACATGTTTTTTGGCCTCTGGCTTCTAGGAAGGAGGTTAATTTCATTTTCTGCCAGGAGGAGTTCATGTGGAAAATTGCTCTAGAACTTTCCCGGCTGCGTGTGAATTACTGACAGTGCCCAAGAGCATCCAGACAGCTTGGGAACACACAGGGGATCAAGGGGACGGCAGGGAGGGGACCCCAAGGGCCTGTCCTGATTAGAGCACAGGGTTGTCAAGGGGGGAGGAAATTGTTCTTCGGTGCAGAGAGGAAGGTGAGCAGACGGAGACGGGGATGGTTCACAAGAGTTTTCTGCCTTATTTTCTTTCTAGTTCAGCACAGACATAAAGTTACATGTTAGAAGCGGACTTCACCTTGTGGAGTGCAGAAGCCGATTTAGGCCACAACAGGAGTGGGGAACGCCCGGGGGTAGAACAAGGGCGTTTGCCAGTTTGAGCACCAGGGGGTGGACTTCAGTCCCTCAGGTGCCAAACGGAGTTCCTCCTGGACCAGCTCCTCCCCTCCGAGGGGGGACCTACGGTCTCTTGATCGTGAAGAAAATAGGCGTCTCGGCTTGGATACATCAACCCACCTCCTTCCCCATCACTGGAAGACAGTGCAATGTGGCACCCAGCCAGCAAAAGGTCTGGGGGTGCTTCTTCTCCTGGTTCCATCCGCACAGGAGGCGAGAGGGACTAACTGCCTGGCACCCCGGTCCGTCAGCTCCAGCATCGTCTTAATTCCTGGAGACCCCACCACAGGGGAGGACCTGGTGTTTCCACATTAAAGCACTGGCTGCAAACCCTACCTGGGACTCTTTGCACTTGGGTAGCCCTGGGGGTAAGAGCCTCTCGGTTCCGCCTAAGGTCTTCCCCGGGAGTGAGCAGTGGTAACAGCTCCCCTCCCTCGGCTGGGGCCAGTTCCCTCCACGGGGAAAGCTCCAAAGCACCTGCTGTGTGCTAGGCTCGGTTCTGAGTCAACCCAAACCGAGCGCCTGCCCTCAGGGAGTTTATATTCTAGTTCGGAAGACGACAAACTCATAGAGATCCACACACCACAGATGCCGGGGCGGCGCAGGGCAGGGGGCGGGGGGGTTGGGCAAGCAGGTCAGTGTTGGCGATGGCAGCGAGGGGAGCATGGAGGGGAGGGCTCCTGCCTGGAGGACGAAGTGAGGGAGGCCTCTCCAAGGAGGCGCCTGAGGCAGCTCCAGGGGAAGGGTGCTCCACAGAGGGGAACAGCATGGGGGCACTGTACTGATTTGCATTCACTGATAGTTTGCCTGGAGCACCAACTCCATCCAAGACTTAATTGATCATTACATTCGCAGAGCTTCAAATCCCCAAGCATTTGCATTTTTTCAAAGTATCTAAAAGGCAAAGGACAGCCTGGCATTGGCATGAGAGAGATCTTTGTGCTCAGGGGTGGCGGGCTTCCTGGGTCCCCAACTCAACCCCAGCCCCGGCATCCTCTGGAAGATCGGTCACTGCCCTATGCTACCTAGGCCAACCCGACTGCCATCCCGGCCACGGGAGCCCATCCAGATGAGTGGTTTAGAACAGGGATCCTGCCAGCAGTGAACCTTGGAGCTGGTTTGGAGCCCTGGTTTCCCTACTTGCTGGCTAGCCCTGTGACCTTGAGTAGCTTTCTTGACCTGTCTGGATCGTATGACCTGTCTGAGCTGGTAAGATGGGACAGACAATGTAGGTAACGAATTTAGCAAAGAGCTGGGGTTTTGTGAGAATTAAATGAGGTAATGTGCTAATTATCGGTCATCTCCTCCAGGCATTGCATTACTGGCAGCAACCCAGAGGCTTGCAAAGTGAGGGGAAGAGATAGTTCTGACCTGTGGAGAGTCATGGATGACAAACATGCATAAAACTAGACAGAGAAATAAAAAAGCTGCCCAAGCATATACATATATTGCCCACTTAAATACCCAACATCTGTTGTCCAGATGAGTTGTAGCTACACACACTACATCCTGCGAGATCCCCCCTCTCTGTCATAGGGGCAAGGCAGGTCACATAAAGGCGCGACGAATGCTGGGCTAGGACAGTAAGGAGCGGGGAGGAGTGGGGCAAACCGAAGCACTGATGTGCTGTCTATCGCGAGGAACAGCTCCTCCCCTGCAGCCGCTTGTTACCATGAGGGACTGTGTGTCCCGTGTGGCCAGATCTGTTTCTCCAAGAGAGAGTGAAAACCTGGATTTTTATGTGCACTCTCTCAATTTTTAAATATTGGTGACTAATTCAAGGTTTTAGAGAAGTGCCATGTAAGAATAAGCAAGTCTAGAGAGACAGAGTAGATTAGTGATTGTCTAAGATTGGGGAGGTCGGGGAGAAATGGGGAATGACTGGGGGTGATGAAAATGTTCTAAAATTGATTGTGGATGGCTGTACAACTCTAAATGCACTAAAAGCCATTTAACTGTACACCTTGAACAGGTGGGTTGTATGCTACGTGAACTACATCTCAGAAGTCCCACGGGAGCCAGGAGAAACCCACCAGCGCTCTCTGCGACCCAAGCCATCTGTCCGTGCCTCTGACGAATGGGGTACATGCCCGAGTTCGGGGTTATTTGAGGAGACGGTGATGTATGCAAAACGCTGGAAAGTCCGATAATCACCATGTCTGCCTAACTTCTGAGCACTGCTATTTTGAGTAAGGGGTCTGCAGATTTACTCTGTTCATTCTGTTCTTCTGAGTTTACTATTTAAATTAGCTGGCTTCCCTTGCGGTAAAATCTGTTACGGCAGCAGCGGAAAGGTAACACAGGCTGATGCTACCAAACATTTGATTACCACACAGACTCTGTTCTCACCCACGCTTACTGAGCCCCTCCTGACTGCTTGGTGAGGGTCCTGGTTTGCCTGGGACAGAAGTGGGGGGGGGTCTCTGAAATGCTGGACTTTGTTTCAAAACCATCCTGGGAATAGCAGGGTGAGCGTGCCCTAGGGAAAGAGGTCTGTGGGCAGAGACAGGATGTGCTTGGTGTTGAGTGTTCTGCCTGCAAGTTGGTGAGCTGGCACTGGTGTGTTTGTACTGAATGTTGGCTGCCTTGTGAGCTTGGACCGAGCAGGTCCAGGGGCCCGTCTCCAGGCCCCACAACGTGCCTGCTTTTGAGGGATCCTCGCGGAGGGGCGCGCCAACCAGCAGTGGGGACGAGTGTCTAGCTCCTCACAACTCCCTCCCTCGTCAGTTCATCTTCCTAAGTACGCCAGCTTGACCCATAACAAAGGCATTTTGCTGTTTTAACTTGCACTTTCCTGATATTTGAGAGGCTAAACCAACAACCTATGTCTGTATTGGACATTTGCGTTTCTCTTTCAAGTTGACATTCTCTAGGGGTTTTAGTGCTTTTCTGCAATCTATTTTTAAAATGTTTTTATAACATCATTGCTTTTTTCTAACTGTAAAAGTACCACACACTTCATGCACACAACTCGGAAACTGTAGAAAAGTACACAGAAGACAAATATTAGCCAGCACCCCACCACCTAGAGACGGCCCCCCGTAATGACACTGTGCTTATTTCTGGGGTCTCAAATGTTGAAGAAAGTGTCAGTGTGGCTCAGTGGCTCAAAATGTGGATGTGTTTTATTTTTATAGCAACTCTGCCTCTCTCTAACTTCTGTTCCTTATAAGTAGTGGGGGAACTGAATCATATAAGGATCAATGGAGCACAACAGGACTCAGTAAATAACCACCTCGTGTTCACTTTCCTCTCTTACTCTAAGATGCGGCAGTGCTACTCAAGGTGATGACTGCTGACTTGCTCTAAGGCCCCGAGGAAGGTCCCTGGCCTTTTCTGGGCCTAGCTCTTCACCTGTGAATGAGGTTGCATGATTAGACCATCTCTACCATCGTTCTCGGCATCGCGGTGCTGCTGTGGCGAACTCTCAGTCAATGCAGGGTCCCCGCCCACCCGTACCTTTGCACAGGACTCAATGGAACTGCAGTCATCAAACCCCTGGCAAAAGATCGTGGCCAGCCTCCTGTCCAGATCCTGAATTTTGGTCTCAAAATCAGCGTAATCGTCATCAAAGCTCTGAAAGCGAATTAAAACACCAACCTTGTAAGCGTAACCAGCATGCAAAGCAGGGGCGTGGGTTCACTCTAATGCCCATGGACACCCCCCACTCCCAGCAGGATTCAGGTTACGTCTGGGCTGAGCAAGCTCACCATCCTGGAGGCTGCTCCACAGGCAGAGTGTTTTTGGTGTTTGTTTTATCTTTCGGCCTTGCCGTGCGGCATGTGGGGTCTTAGTTCTCCGACCAGGGATCGAACCCTCGGCCCCTGTGTTGGCAGCACAGAGTCCTAGCCACTGGACCACCAGGGAAGTCCCGGGGCAGACCTTTTGCATCATTTTTTTCTCTGCCACACGTGCTCCCTCCGTGTGCCTTCCCACTCTCGGGGCATTTGCCATCGATCCTGCCAAGGCCCCCGACTTACCGAATCTCCAGGATCCAAGGGGTCGTATTTGCAGTCGGCAAAAACCTTCACCAGCTCAAAGACCTCATCAGAGATCTGAGTCACCTGGCTTCCGAGGAAGCTGCCCCTCACGCCCCCGAGCTCAATTTTCTCCAGCTTCAGAAACTCGATGGCTGTTTTATAAAGATCCTGGTGGAGGAAACCCCAGCACCCTCGTCAGTTCATCTTCCTAACTACGCCAACGGTTCAGTCACTCATCCAGCTCTGACCCCGGCAGGGAGGAGCCCCGGGGCCACATAGCAGTCCGGAGGGGCCCTCTGTGTATTGGTGTTAATGTTCTCTAAAGCTGTTGCTGTAGCAGAGAGGAGATGGAAGGAAGGGTCCCATGAGCCATCTCCAAGCTGTGATTATGGAGGAGGAAGAGGTGAAGGTCGGGCTCTTGTCCTGACCCAACACTGGGCGAAATGTGCCTCTAAATAAATCACACTTTACCGGGGCCCCACTTCCTCAGCTGTGGGATGAAGCAGTTGGAAAGGCATGCGGTGGTTCCTGATGGCCTCACGTACAGGGTGCCTGATGGATGTTTGCGTGTAAATCCCACTCCCTCACTCCCTCCGAGGTGTGGGTCTCACCTCGCCTTCTCCTGGAAGCCGTCCCACCTATTTTAGCCCATGGTGGTGCCTTCTTTTCCAGAATCCCCAATTGCTACCTGTGCTCTTCCTTTTGGCATTTAACTCCATTCAGTCCTATCACGTTATCTAACGCTTCTGTGTGTAGCTCTTATTCCCCGATCGAGATCCCGAAGGCTTCTTGAGGATGACAAGCAGCCCCCAGGTGCCCGACCCAGTGCCTGCTGCTGCTTGGACGGAAGATGTTTATAGGGTACTCGTGTCCCTCCCCTAAGCCAGTGCCGAGGTTGATGCCACTTCCCCCCCGCAGATGTCCAAGATGTATCGAGCTATAATCCAAGCAAACCTAACGCAAAGTAACAGGATCCTCATGCCCTGAGCTCTGGGGCCCTTACACCCAAGGAGGGCGGCATGGGTGGCACAGACCTCAGGCAGGGGGTGGCTGGCATGGCCATTTCCCCCACCCCCAGAAGCCCCTCTTTTCCTAGAAGTATCACCCTGACTCACAATCTATAATGTAGGAACCAGTGGCTACTTGGCCAGAAACTTGGCTGGGACCTTCCAGTTCTTGGGCTCGAGCCTTCAGGCATGAAAAAACACTCCATGATGGGAATCTGGGAGTCTTAAGGGGGGCTTCCTGCTCTGCCTCCCAGAGGGTGTGGATGAGAACTAGACACACCTTCCTGGAGCCACTGTTGACGACATCCATCATAAAATCACTGCCCAACGAATGAATGGTTCCCCGCCTTTTTTTTTAAAGGATGTAATGTGCACAAAGTTAAAAAAAAAAAAAAAAAAAAAAGACCGTAAAGTTTACAAAACAAAAAGGAAAACTTTCTTGCCCTACCCATGCCTTTACCCCTCATCTCTTCTCCCCAGAGGAAACCATTTTGAAACTTTTTAAAAATTTTAATTTGCCATGTGTCATTCCATGTATCCAAATAGGGTCCTTCTTAAGTCTTCACCTGGGCTAACTTAGTCCCACTAACTCTCTCCCTTGGTCTGCAGGCTTCCTGACCAGGGTCACTGACCTTGTCATTAACCTGCTCATAGACAGAAAGCAAGAGAAAGGGGAAAAGCAAGCACAATGGGTCGCTTTGCTCTGGGCTAATAGCTCCGGGCCTGGCCGAGGTGGCCCAGGGACTCCGTTTCCCCATGACGCAGAAAATTCCACCTTTACCTCAATGGTCTGGATGCGCTGGAAAAAGGAATTTATCCTGGAAAAGGCAAGAGAAGAAGGGAATTCCCAAGGCACTGGCTTCTTGTCTTTCTAGGGGAGAGAGAGAGAGAAAAAAGGCTGCGTTTGCCTCCGACACGTCCATGGGGTCCGACGCCGGGGCCAACATCACCCCGACCCCTTTCCCCTGGTTCGCTCTCTACAACCAGGCCGTACCTTGAAGAAAAGCTTCATGTTCGTGCAGCAGAACTCGTAGGCTCGGTACAGCTCCTTCAGGACGCTCAGGGACAGAGAGATGCCGCTCAGCACCTCCTCAGTTTCACCCTGCAGGCCTTTCAGCACCTCGTCGGGACTCAGGTAGGTCCGAGTCTGGGCAGAAGGGAAGGTGTCCCCAAGTTCGGACCAGCCGGAGGGGTGACACAGCTGTTTCACTGGTTAGAATGACCCACCCCGGGCCCCTGGGCCACTTCTTCTGACACATCCGCTGTCCCAGCCCGTCTGCTGACTGCGGGGCATTTACAGGCGCCCGAACCGTTTCTCTCACCGGGACCCTCACCCCGGGCTAAGGCCACAGCACAAACAGATTTTGATGGTAGATGACTAGGGGCCCTCTAGGGGTCCAGAAACACAGTCCTGCTACGGCTGCGGGATCCTGGGCCACTAGGTCCCTCTGGGCCTGCAGACAGGGCTGCGAGCATGATTCTAACACACGCAGGCAGCCCAGGGGCGCAAGGCTGCAACTCACACCTTGGAGGCTGCGTAACCTGTGTTCATGAAATGGAAGAAGGAAAGGGAACTGGCGTTGAGGGAGACGGAAGGAGGCTTGGTTTCGGAGCAGATAAACCCCACAAGGCCCCCGGCCGAGTCTTGGGGTGCCGGGACTCAGTGGGCCGCCCCACTTTCTTTCCTCCCCACTCCCGGCGTGGGGCAGATTGGGCTGGCACTGCCCAGGTCTTGGGAGAACCCTGGGTGGCCACCCAGAGGGCCCAGCCTTAGCCCGGAGCCTGTAAATCCCTGCACCAGCATCTCTGTCTGTTTTTAAACTGCTGGAGAACACGGGGCGGGATTGGGGGGCGCCAATCAGGAGGCAGGGAAGGTGGCCAGGGCCAGGGCGCTACCATCTCGATGAGCTGGTTGCAGAACTCCTGCAGGATGACGATGACCCTGGAGGGCGTGTTGTAGTGCTCGGACGTGGCCCAGATGGAGCAGATGGTATACAGCACCTTGGCGATGAAGGTCGGGAGCTGGGGAGAGACGGGCCAGGCGGGCGCTTTGTCGCAGCACCTCAGCACACCCCTCCCCACGGCTCCAGGAGGGGACTCCCAAGGGGAAGGAAGAGGCACTCGCCAGGTCCTCGTGCCCGACCCCAGCCAGGAAGCCCGCAGCCCCTGCTCCCCCAAGACACAAGCCCAGCCCCTGCCAAATGACCTTTTTCTTGCTAACATACCATCGTGAAGTCAGTCTGTTCCATCTCCTCCAACAAGATCTGCAGAGGCTTCAGATACAGAACTATATCGTTGGCTTCCTTCAGGCCTGCCCAAAACAGGAACAGGGGCTCATCCACAGGGGAGCGGAAGCCAGACCCCACTCCCGACGGTCAGAAATGGTGACGGGCAGCTCTGTGTGTTTATGGACACCCACTGCTTCAAGAACGGGTCTTCCTCGAAAGGCGGGGCCCAAGGAAGCTGATGAGGGAGGCGGAAGGCGCCTCCACCCCAGGGTCAGCAAGGGGCCTGCCCGGCCCCTCCCAGGAGGGGCTGACACCTTCTTCTTGGAGGGGGAAGGGTTCTCATAGGGCCACCGCTCACCCTCAGTGACATTCATATACACATTTTGCAGGGCTGGCCAGTAGCAGCTTTTGGCTTTTTCCAGGATCTCGACGATTTTGTTCACTTTGGGCCTGTTGAGCTGAGAAGGAAAGAAGAAAATTAGCCTTTCAACAGATTCTAGACGAAGGCTGCCTGACCCCATTGCCGGTGCTGAGGGATCTACACGGGTTACCCGGGTCCCCTCAGGGGTCCCCTTGGGGAGGCTGGGCGCTCAGGACTCCAGTGGGCGCCCGGTCGCCAGGGGCAGAACAGGCGTCACCTGCTCGTGGATGCACTTGAGGTTCATCAGCCGGGTGTCCCAGAACTCAAACTCGACTCGGGGCAGGGGGTGCAGCCCGTCCAGCAGGGCCTGGGCCGAGTCTTTGCTTAGCACATCCCGGATCTGGCGGGACCAGTCAATGATGATGGTCTCGATGGCGTGCAGCAACGAGTTGTCCAGGGAGGAGGGGATCCTGCCGGGCAGAGTCGGGGGGAGAGGCTGTCAGCCAGGAGAGACCCTGCACCAACACTGTGTGTTGCCAGGGATGCCAGTGCCCCCAAGAAAGAGGGTGAGGAGGGCCAGCTCTGGAATAAAATCCACGTTCATGAAGGCTCCTCCAGCAGTTCTGACTGGGGTCACCATGGGGCGTGTGCTGGGGGCCTAGAGGACCTGCCATGTGATAAGCCCTGCAGGAGCGGTCGCCCTCTGATGGGAGTAAGGGAACACACTGTCACTGCAGCTTGCTTCAAGCGTCGCACACACCAGGCGGTTGCAAATGGCGCTCAGGCAGGTGCAAGGCGACACCTCGGAGTCCTCATGCTTCTGTGGGCCACTGGGATGCCACAGCCTCGATTTAGAAGCCCAGCCTCCACCTGCTGAAAATCCCTTCTATGCCCCTCACTGTCCCTCAGTACCCACGTCCTAAAGCTGGGTATCCCCTTTCCCATGTGACAGTGTGACATCCTTGGCCTAGTCCTTGTGTCTGGCGGAGGAGGGGCTGGAGCACAGGTGTCCAGCAGTTGCCAGAGCTGGAGTCTCGGGGGCTCCAGTGTCTTGTCCTGTTCTGTCCTTGTGCCTTCGATCTCAGACTCAGCACCTAAAGGCACCATCCTGCCCTCCTCGGTTTCATCAGCTCCGAAACCAGTTTTCGGTGAGACAGTTTATCCTTAGTGGTCGGGGACCAGATGCCCCTCCTTCCAGCCAGCTCCCCGGCCGGGTCCCTACCTCTCCATGGACTCAAGGGTGCCATCCAGACTGCCCAGGTGCTCCGGGATGGGCAGCAGCGTCTTCCCCTTGATCTTGCCGCCCATCACACACATCTCGTTCTTCAGCTTGTGGACTTGCTTCACAATGTCCTCTGAGACCACGCGGGGCCATCCGCTCACGTTTTCGCTTTGGTTTAACAGGGAAGAGAGGACCTGAAAGGAGAAGCAGGGTCCTCAGTGCCCGGGTCCCGGGGGGAACCGAGCCCTTCTCCCGTTGCAGAAGGAGGTGGGGCCAGTCGAGGTGCTGAGGCCAGTGATGACAGCCCAGCCCCTGTGCCATCTCCATGAAGGGAGACCCCAAGAGCACACACTCCTGGCCGAAAGCAAACATTTCGCGCTGCCTCAGAGTGCTGCTATAGGCTGAATTGTGCCCCCGCCCCCAGTTCACACATGGGAGCCCCAGCACCTCCAGATGTGACTGTATTTGGAGAGAGGGCCTTTCAAGGGGTGATTAAGGGGGGCCCTAACCCAATAAGACCGTTGTCCTCAGCAGAGATGAGGACACAGACACGCACAGAGGGAAGGCCACATGAAGACCCAAGGCCGTGTCAAGTCGGCCATCCACACGCCAAGAAGAGAGGCCTCAGAAGGAACCAGCCCAGCTCACATCTTGATCTGGGACTTGCAGCCTCCAGATTGTGGTGCTTTGTTAGGGCAGCCTGAGCAGAGAACGACAAACACCCGTGTGCTCCAGCTTTGGGCCAGGCCAGCTGCCTCGGTGGATGTGAGAGGAGGCTGGCCTGGGTCCTGGCTGAGCGGCCCCTGTGGCCTGAGTCTGCTCAAGGCAGGGACGCACGGCCCCATCTCACAGATGAGGAGAACGATGACTAGGAAAGCTAAGTCGCTGGAAGTCTGGCGGGTCTGACTCTCCAGAGGCAGCTGCACCTGCCATGCCGGCCAATAGTGGAGACGTACGTAGGGCAGCACCTGCTTGACCCCTTTCTTTGCTTGAAGTCTCAGAACTAGGAAACCCATCTACTGGATCTCAAATGGCCCATGCCTTCTGAGGCTACAGGCAGGGATGTCCCCGGTGCAGTATGGAGGTTCTAATGATTTCGAGAGAGGACAGGCGGTGGCCAGGGCCACTCAGCCTTCACATGCACAGCATCAGCTGGAGGCCACGTTGGAGAGCCGGTCTGTCTCAGCGGTCAGGGCAGCCGGGCCTGAGCTCTCGAATACCTGGCCGGCTTCTAGGCGATGCAGATGCCGCTGGCCCCTGGGCCTGCTCCGGGAGCGGCGGCGCTCAAGGCCACGCACTCAAGGTATGAGAAACACGTGTTGCTTCTCCTGAGCCCTGTGCCCCGCCCCAGCAAGGCCTAGGTGCACCCACCTCCTCCACGATGGCGATCAGCTGGTCCACGGGAGTGGGGCTTATGTCCCCATAGACCAGGCGGTCCTTGTAGTTGTCATTGCTGATGTTCTCAGGTTTCTTCTTGATGAAGTACATCCCTTTGGACTTGAGGGAGGCCGGGAAGCCCAGGCAGGGTATGATCATGCCGGCGGGGCTGAGTGTCAGCACCAGAACTAGGACGTCCGGTTTCTCAAAGAATTCGGTGAACAAACCCATGTTCTCTTCTGCTCCGACCATTTTACTCCACTTGTCCGGCTTGAACTTTAGGATGATGGAAGCGACACTCTCCAAATACTCTAACCTGACGTCTGGTGTAATCGCCATCTTGACGTTCACTTACACCTGTTAAATGAACAGAGACACGGACACAGCACAGTCTCCCGGGGAATCTCCATTTCCCGCCTGTCACTGGAACCATCTGAAATCCCTGTTCTAGCCAATCGAGAAAGGAAAGGGTCATCATTGTTTTCAGCTGTGGGTGGGCTGCGGGTGAGGGAGGACCAGGGGGCTGTGTCTGTCTGCTCTGGCTGGACGGCTGCCCTCGGCCTCGCTGTGGGTATCACCGTGGAGCAGGGCCGCACGGCAGCGGTGTGTGCTTGTGTTAACTGTGGCCAGGAAGTTAATAGGCTGGGAAAGGTTGAGATGGGCTCTGGGGAAAAGGAGAAAAGGAAAGGATCATAGCAAGACAGTCTGAAGGTGAGGGGGTGGGGAAAGGTGAAATGAGGCAACAAAAGGGTCAGGTTGAAAGATCCCAGGAAGGTGACATCACACCCCCAGGATATGGGCTAAACTCAGACAGGAGGGGGTGGACCCAATGTGCAGGTGTGGGGTTCATCACACTCTCCCTGTCCTAACCCCAGCCATAGTATACCCCAACTTTTGTCCAGCCCTTCAGCCTCTCCCACCCCCCAGTCCCCATCATGTGCCCATGGACCCCACAGAAGCTGCTCACATCCCTCTGGGACAATCCCTTGTGGCTCTCCCATAGGGGCAGGGTTAGCTGGAGAGTTGCGGGGACACCCTTGAAGCTCCAAAGGGCCAGGACAGATGAGGCATTCCCTGTGGGCATAATATTTAAAGGGGTGCCCAAAATCCTGACCGGCCCCGAGCAGAGAACAGAGCACCTTCCGGGGTGGGTAGTGGGTCTACTCTGTCCACCAAGGCCTGGGTTCTACCTCTGTCCTCTGGAGCCTCCTCAGCTTTGCCTCCAAGCACCCCTCACACAATTCATGGCCGCTCACAGCTGACAGCAAATGGCTTCTCAGGTAGCGAGCAGAGCCAAACAATGGGCAGCTCTTTCCCAGACCAGTAAAGGAAATGGCTCCCTTCCCTTGACGGGCACCAACTGCCATGGAACTTCTGCAAGTCTCCTGGGAACTGGGACTTCTAGAACCTTCTCAGGACCTGAGTGACGGGTGGTGGTGCAGCAAATGAACAACCGTCAATTACCCACCACAGTGGAAAGGCTCTTGGATTAAACAAAATTTGCCTTTGAACACTTAGGTCATTTTCATTTCACGAAATTACTAACATATTGGGGTTTAAAACTATTGTCTTATTAAGTGCTTATTATCTGTCTTGCCTTTTCTAGATTCCCTTTCTTTTCCTTTCTTGCCTTCTTCTAGATTTGTTTCATTCCCTCCCCATTATCTTGGTTACTATACACCTTTTGTTTTTTAGAGGTACATGGACATTATAACATGCATCATGCATAGCATGACTTACCTTAGTATAATACTCATTGCAACCTGATAATGAAATTCAGAAAACAATTTCCATTTACAGTAACATCAAAAAGAATAAAATATTTAGGAATAAAATTTTAAAAGAAGGGCAAGATTTATACACTGAAAACTACAAAACATCATTAAAAGAAATTAAAGACAAATAAATGGAAAGACATCCCGTGTTCATGGAATGGAAGACTTAATATTGTTAAGATGGCAATTCTCCTCAAATTGATCTACAGATTCAACACAATACCTGTCAAAATTCCAGCTGTGTTTCTGCAGAAATGGAAAAGCTGATCCTCAATTTCTTAGGGAAATCTGAGGGACCAAAAAAAGCCAAGACAATCTTGAAAAAACAGCAAACTTTCCCAATTTCAAAACTTCTCAATTTCAAAACTTACTACAGTTCATAGCGGCACTATTTACGATAGCCAAGACATGGAAGCAACCTAAATGTCCATTGACAGGTGAATATGGTATATATACAAGGAAATATTACTCAGCCATAAAAAAAGAATGAAGTAATGCCACTTACAGCAACATGGATGGACCTAGAGATGATCATACTAAATGAAGTAACTCAAAGACAAATATCATTATGATATCACGTATATGTAGAATCTAAAAAAATGATGCAAATGAACTTATTTACAAAAAGAAATAGACTCACAGACATAGAAAACAAACTTATGGTTACCAAAGTGGGGAGGGATAAGTTTGGAATTTGGGATTAACAGATACAGATTACTATATATAAAACAGATAAACAACAAGGACCTACTGTATAGCACAGGGAACTATAATATCTTGTAATAACCTATAATGGAAAAGAATTTGAAAAAGAATAGATATATCTATAACTGAATCACTTTGCTGTACACCTGAAACATTTTAAATAAACTATACTTCAGTAAAAAATTATTTTAAAAACTTACTAGAAAGCTATGGTAATTAGGACCGAGTGTGGCTGCTGTAAGGACAGATCAATGGAATAGAACTGATGAGTCCAAAAAGAAACACATACATTTATGGGCAACTGATTTTAGACAAGGGTACAAAGACAATTCAATTGGGAAAAGAAGAGTCTTTTCAATAAATAGTATTGGAACACATGCGAAGGAATGAAGTTGGACCCTCATCTCACACCACCTAAAAAATTAACTAAAAAATGGATCAAAGACCTAAATGTAAGAGCTAAAATTATAAAACTCTTAGCATAAAGCATAGGAGTAGATCTTTATAACCTTGAATGAAGCAATGGTTTCTTATATATGACACCAAGAGCATAAGTGACCAAAGAAAAAGACAAATTAGGCCTCATCAAAATTAAAAACTTTTAACAAAACTTAAAGTCAGCAGAAGGAAGGAAATAATAAATATCAGAGAGGAAACAAAACAGAGATTAAAAAATAGAAAAAAAAAGCAATAAAACCAAGAGCTGGTTCTTTGAAAGGATACACAAAATTGACAAACCTGTGGCATGGCTTACCAAGAAGAAAAGAGAGAGAACCCAAATAAACAAAATAAGAAATGCAAGAGAAGAAACATCAACCGATGTTGGGGGGAAAAAACCCATAAGAGAATATTATGAACAATTATTGGCCAAGAAACTGGACAACCTAGAAGAAATGGACAACTTTCTGGAAACATATAGCCCACCAAAACTGAATCAAGAAAAATAGATAATTTGAACAGACAAATCACTAGAAATGAAATAGAATATGTAACCAAAAATAGTCCCTACAAACAAAAGTCCAGGACCAGATGGCTTCATATGCGAATTCTACCAAACATTTAAAGAGGAACTTTTACTAATCCTTCTCAAACTCTTCCAAAAGACTGAAGAGGAGGGAACACTCCCAAAGGCATTCTATGAAGCCACCATCACCCTGATACCAAAACCAGACAAAGATACCACCAAAAAAGAAAATTATAGGCCAATATCTTTGATGAGTATAGATGCAAAAAATCTCAGCAAAATATTACCAAACCAAATACAACAATACATAAAAAAGATCATACACCATGACCAAGTAGGATTCATCCCAAGTTCGCAAGGATGGCTCAACATACGCAAAAATCAATGTAATACACCACATCAACAAAAGAAAAGACAAAAACGACATGATCATCTCAATAGATGCAGAAGAAGCATTTGACAAAATTCAACATCCATTCATGATAAAAACTTTTACCAAAGTGGGTACAGAGGGACCATATCTCAACATAATAAAAGCTTTTTATGACAAACCCACAACCAATATAATACTCGATGGTGAAAAGCTGAAAGCCTTCCTGCTAAAATCTGGAACAAGGATGCCCATTCTCACCACTTCTCTTCGAAACAGTATTAGAAGTTTGAGACATAGCAATCAGATAAGAAAAAGAAATAAAAGGTATTCAAATTGCAAGGGAAGAGGTAAAGCTGTCCTTACATGCAGATGGCATGATACTATACATAGAAAACCCTAAAGACTCCACACAAAAACTACTAGAACTGACAACTGAATTCAGCAAGGTAGCAGGACACAAGATTAACATACAGAAATTGGTTGCATTTCTTTAACAATGAAATATCAGAAAGGGAATGTTTAAAAAAAAGAAAACTTTTAAAATCACACCCCTCAAAATAAAATACTTAGTGCTAAACCTGACCAAGGGGGTTAAAGACTTATATGCTGAGAACTGTGAAACATTAATAAAAGAAATTAAAGATGATTCAAAGAAATGGAAAGATATCCCATGGATTGGAAGAATTAATATTGTTAAAATGGCCATACTACCCAAAACAATATACAGATTTAACACAATCCCTATCAAATTACCCATGACATTTTTCACAGAACTGGAACAAATAATCCTAAAATTTATACGGAACCATAAGAGACCCAGAATTGCCAAAGCAATCCTGAGGAAAAAGAACAAAGCAGGAAGCATAACCCGACCAGACTTCAGACAATACTACAAAGCTACAGTAATGAAAACAGTGTGGTATTAGCACAAAATAGACATACAGATCAATGGAACAGAATAGAGAGCCCAGAAATAAACCCACACACCTATGGTCAATTAATCTTTGACAAAGGAGGCAAGGATATAAAATAGGAAAAGACAGTCTCTTCAGCAAATGCTGCTGGGAAAGTTGGACAGCTGCATGTAAATCAATGAAGTTAGAACACACCCTCACACCATGCACAAAAATAAACTCAAAATGGCTTAAAGACTTAAATATAAGTCATGACACCATAAAACTCCTAGAAGAGATCATAGGCAAGATATTCTCCGGCATAAATTGTACCAATGTTTTCTTAGGTCAGTCTCCCAAGGCGATAGAAATAAAAGCAAAAATAAACAAATGGGACCTAATCAAACTTATAAGTGTTTGCACAGCAAAGGAAACCATAAACAAAACGAAAAGACAACCTACAGAATGGGAGAAAACATTTGCAAACGAGGCAACCAACAAGAGCTTAATTTCCAAAATATACAAACAGCTCATATGGCTCAACAACAAAAAAAAACCCAACAACTCAATCGAAAAATGGGCAGAAGACCTAAATAGACATTTCTCCAAAGAAGACAGAAAGATAGCCAATAGGCACATGAAAACGTGCTTAATATCACTAATTATTCAAGAAATGCAAATCAAAACTATAATGAGGTATCACCTCACACTAGTCAGAATGTCCATAATTAAAAAGCCTACAAATAAAAAATGCTGGAAGGGGTGTGGAGCAAAGGGAACCCTCCTACACTGTTGGTGGGAATGTAAGTTGGTGCAGTCACTATGGAAAACAATATGGAGGTTCCTCAGAAAACTAAATATAGTATTACCATATATGATCCAGCAATCCCACTCCTGGGTATATATCCAGACAAAACTATAATTCAAAAAGACACATGCACCCCTATGTTCATAGCAGCACTATTCACAATAGCCAAGACATGGAAACAACTTAAATGTCCATTGACAGATGAATGGATAAAGATGTGGTACATACATACAATGGAATACTACTCAGCCATAAAAAAGAACAAAATAATGCCATTTGCAGCAACATGGATGCAACTAGAGATTATCACACTAAGTGAAGTAAGTCAGAAAGAAAAAGACAAATACCATACGATATCACTTATATGTGGACTCTAAAATAAGGCACAAATGAACCTATCTACAAAGCAGAAAGAAACTCAAAGACATAGAGAACAGACTTGTGGTTGCCAACGGGGAGGGGTTTGGGGAGGGTTGGACTGGGAGTTTGGGGTTAGTAGATGCAAACTGTTACATATGGAATGGATAGACAACAAGGTCCTACTGCATAGCACAGGGAACTATATTCAATGTCCTGGGATAAACCATAATGGAAAAGAATTTTAAAAAGAATGTGTATATATGTATAACTGAGTAACTTTGCTATACAGCAGAAGTTAACACAACATTGTAAATCAAGTGTATCAATAAAAGAAGAATTAAAAACTTTTGTGCTTCAAAGGACACTATGAAGAAAGTGAAAAAACAGCCCTCAGCATGAGAGAAAATATTCGCAAATCATATAGCCGATAAGGGACTTGTATTCAAAAAATATATAGAACTCATAACACAATAATAAATACACAAACATAATTAAAAATGGGTCAAGGATATAGACATTTCTCCACGTAAGGCAGGCAAATGACTGATAAGTACATGAAAAGATGCTCAACATCATTAGTCTTCAGGGAAATGCAACTCATCAGGGAAATGAACTTACATGAGGTCCCTGGAGTAGTCAAACTCATAGGGACAGGAAGTAGAATAGAGGTTGCCAGAGGCTAGAAGATGGAAGCACGGCGAGTTAGTGTTTAATGGGGACAGAATTTCGGTTTGGGAAGATGAAAAATTTCCGGAGATGGACGGTGGTGATTGGTTACACCACAGTGTGAATGTACTTAATGCCACTTAAGAATGGTCAGAATGGTAACTTTTATTTTATGTATATGTAGTGTAAGCTCTGACAGTTTTTTTTTTTCTCTTTTTTGTGGTGCTAGCGCCTGAATTAAACTTTCATTGCCGAGGCATCCCCTTCAACACATTGCCAGCCGCGTGACCAGATCAAGAGCCAGGCCACCCCCCAAACTGAAGCTCCTTTGTTTTAGAGATCTTGGTTGATTTTAATAACTGACAATTTGGGCTACTTGTTTTTGGTTTTGTTTATTTTTTCTCTTCCTGCGCTTTAAATTCCCACTCTTATGTTTTAAGTTCACCAATAAAGAGTGAGCCCTCAGAACCCTAGGCCCCCACCCTCTACCCCAATAAAAGCACAAGCTCAGGTACACCC